GGAGGCGGCTGGGGCTCTAGTTGCTAAAGAGGCAGAGAGGAAAGACAAGTTCAGATCAGCAAGAATGAAGGAAGGTTTCAAAGTCAACAGAGAAGGGCGTTATGGACACAGAAAGCTGCCCCCACCTAGTGCCGGCCGGTCCTGACTGGCTGTGGGAAACGGGCAGGTCCCTGGCCCGCTCTGGGCCTCAGTCTCCCCATCTGTGCAGTGAGAGCATTGAGTTCTGTGACCACCAGCCAGACTCAAGCACAGAGACAGGCTAGGCACGCTGGCTCAGGCCTATAATCCCAGCACTATGGGAGGCTGAGGCTGGAGGATTGCTAGAGCCCAGGAGTTCGAGACTAGCCTGAGCAACATAGCGAGACTTTATCTCTACAAAAAAATTTTTAAAATTAGCCAGGTGTGGTGGGATCCACCTATAGTCCCAGCTACTTGGGAGGCTGAGGTAGAAGGATTGCCTGAGTCCTGGAGGCTGAGGCTGTAGTGAGCTGTGGTCGTGCTACTGCATTCCAGCCTAGGCGACAGAGCCAGACTCTGGCTCAAAAAAAAAAAAAAGAAAAGAAAATAAGAAGCTCAGCGACAGGAAGGGAGAGGTGGGCACATCCCACGATTCTACAAGCATTTGCTGGGCTCGACCACCGGCCTGCATGGGGCTGAGTTCTCTAGAGAAAGGGGCAGAGATTTAGACTCTGACCCAGAACCCTGTTTCGGGATCCTCTGTTCCAGGTCGTCGTATTTCATTCTTACAAATCCCTGCTTTACAGAGGAGGATCCAAGGGACAGCGGCACAGTGACTTCCCAGGAAAGAATGCCCGGCAGGCCAGCCCCTGCCGTGGCCTTGTCTTGGCCTCTCTGTGTCCCTCTCACTGGGTGACGGTGGGGAGACAGGCGACTTGCCCAAGGCCTCTGGGCTGGAGAGGCGGGAGAGGGTGCTCACACCTGGCACTGCCGGAAAGCCAGTGTTCCGCCTGACCTGAGCCTCCCCGCCGCCTGGGCCCTCGTGCCAGCTGGGAACAGAGCAAGGCCCTGACCTCTTCCCGCTCCAGTCAGTGGGATCTGTCCCAAACTGTGGGCCCAACCCACGCCAGCTGCCTGTGGCCTGTGGCCAAGGGGAAAGGGTGGAAGGGGCCCTGCTTCCCACCCAGCACCGTGTGCCTGGTCCCCCTTGCCTTTCTGGCTACCCCAGGGCTCAGGAGGCAACCGAGGGCAGGGGGCACCTCTCCAGGGGTCCAGGAAGGACTGACGGCTGGTGGGGGTGGAGGAGGGGGGCGCATGGCCTTCCCTGGCTTAGGAGAATCTGACCAGCCATTTGGCTGTTCTGCAGGCCCCACCCCCTGGCAGCCTACCAGACCCCAGCCCCAGGCACAGCAGCTTGGTCCTTTCTGTTCACATCACATGCTTCAGACCATTCTTGCTGCCCTCACCGAACATGGATGTTTCGTTTCCACGTCTGCCAGTGTCACATGTTTATGCCTTTTTGCAGTTGCCTGCAACTCATTTTATTCCAGTGTAGACCCGGGTCGGTGCGATTCATTCGAAGGCTGCCTGTCGCCTGCCCAGTGCTAGGTCGGGCGCGGGGAGAGGACGCAGGAGTGGGTCTCGCCCCCTTCTAACCTTGCTCTGGTCTGGACGGAGGTGGCCAGACAGGTTGGCATCGGGGGCCGTGAGCAGGGCCCCAGGATGCCTGGGGAGGGTGTACTGACTGACCTGACTGCCCCCCCCAGGGCCACACACCCCACACCCCTCCTCCCTGTCCTGTGGGTGCCTCTCACCACCCCTGCTGGCCATTGCCTAGAGCACTAAGGGAGAAGTCTACCAGGTCCCTCTTGGGAGAAAGTTGGGAGGCCCGGCTTATGTCAGCAGGAACCACGTGAGCCGAGGAGCCGAGGACAGACGCATGGGACGTTAGCCCAGACCTCACAGCCCAGACCAGAGGTCGAGCCTGGCTGTTCCAAGCGAGACCCTGTGGGCTAAGGGTGGATGAGGTTCTCCCAAGGGACAAGACTATCTGCTGTCAGTCACGCTGATGGGTAGTCCTGGCGAGGGGGAGCACCGGCAGAGCCCCTGGGAGAGGAAACCCGTGCTCTTCTCTCTCTCTCTCTCTCTCTCTCTCTCTCTCCCCTTCTCTCTCTTCCTCTCTGGCTCTCTCTCTCTCTCTCTCACTCTGTGCCCCTCTCTTTTTTCTCTCTGTCTTCCTCTCTCTCTCTTTCTCATTCTCTCCCTCTCTCTCCCCTCCCTTTCTCTTCCCCCCTCTCTTACTCTGTCTCTCTCCCTCCCTCTCCCTCTTCCTGTCTCTCTGTCTCCCCTCCCTCTCTCTCTTCTCCCTTTCTCTCTCCCCTGTCTCTCTCTCTTCCTCTCCTTCTCCTTCCCTCCCCTCCCCTTCCACTCTCTCTCTGTCTCTCTCTCTCAACCTAAGGAGCAGAGGCTGAGAGAAGCTGAGACCCGGCTGGAGAGGGCTTCAATGGTGGGCAGGTAAGCTGTCCCTGGCAATGGACCCAGCAACAAGGTGTCCACCTGGGCCTGTGACCTGGAGGGCAGACCCATCTGTAATCTCACATCTGCTCCTTTCCACCCTGCAGGTCATTCTTGGCTGCTGTGCTGTCCTTGGGCCCCAGCAAAGGTAGAGGCAGCTGCCTTGGCCACCCTGAGGGTGGAGAGAGGGTCCTCATAGGCTCAGGACTTAGACCCTCCTAGGATTTTGCTTGAAAGGGATGTGTCAACCGTGTGCAGTGGCTTAGCCTGTCATCCCAGCACTTTGGGAGGCCGAGGTGAGAGGATTGCCTGAGCCCAGGAGTTCGAGACCCACCTGGGCAACTTGGTGCGATCTCATCTCTACAATAAATCAAAAAATTAGCTGGGCTGGTGGTGTGCACCTGTAGTTCCAACTACTTGGAAGGCTGAGGCGGGAGGGTCACCTGAGCCCAGCAGGTCCCAGCTGCGGTGGCCATGAGTGTGCCATGGCCCTCCAGCCTGGGTGGCAGAGTGAGACTCCAACTCAACAACAACAACAAAAAAAGGGACGTGTCCGGGGCTGGGACATCTGGGTTTGGCGGATTGGGGGTCTGAGGCCTGGAGCCAACCACTCCCCTCAGGTCGTCCTTGGCTGTTGCGACCAAATGGGACCACAGGCAGGAAGGAGCCAAAACAGGGACACCGGTTAGGGACTGAACAGTGGCCAGGGAGGAGCCACGGGACCTGCCATCGCTTGTCCTAGGAGCCATGTCCAGCAGGGAGCAGGTAAGAACCGCAGGGTGCAAGGACAGATGTGAAGACCGGTCACTTGGTACGTGTGGATGTCCCCGAGGTGTGAGGGGTGGGGAGGAGTGAGGCACACAGCCCAGGAGGGGACCCGAGAGCAGGGCGGGAGGGTGTGGAGGGGCAGACAATGGGGAAGGGCCGTCAGAGATGAGCCGACCCAGTCCCACCCCCAGAGTCCTGCGCCTGGTCCTCTCCTCCCAGACCCCCAGCGGGGTCCAGGGGGTCCTGAGAGGACATCTGGGGGCAGCCAGGCCAAATCTGTGCAGAAAGGGCTCATCCTGGATGCCCCTCCAGGGAGTTGGGAAAGGGGAGGGACTCCCCCAAATGAGGGGGTGGAAGGAGCTCAAAGGGTGGGTTTGAGGTGCTATGGGGTCTGACGGGCCCTCCAGAGAGCCCCGTGAAGTGGTGTCCTTGGGGAGTGGGTGACCTAGGGGTCAGGTGTGGGGGCTGAGTATCCTGGGGGATTGGTTGTCCTGGGGGGTGGAATGCTGGGGAG